CATCACTCTCAATGTCTTTTTTCATAAACGCACCCAAACACTTTAGACTCCTGTCATCTGTGGATATGACCCTTATTGGTCTCGCGTAGAACTAAAGACGTGTTATATCCTTAGATAACGATGGGATGTCTAGAGACAGCAGTGTTTTTGCTTGACCTTTCAGACGGGACATTGTGCAAAGGTGGTGTGTGATTGAAACTCAACAGGTTCAACAGTTGTACAATATGGCTTTGTTGCCTGTGATACTGTCATTCAGTGAATGCATAGAAGCCAGACTATGTTCCCCATTCGACTGCATAAGTATTTGAAGTGGGGCTAATCCCTCAGGATGTGATAATGTACAGCTATGTCTATCTTTCATGTATTTACCATGCTTCACAATAGATTAACATGCATATTGTAAAATGAAATGTAATATATAGTTATAATAACTGATAAGATTCTAATCTGTAACTTCCCACTCTCAAAAATAATATTGTAATAATTAAAACAAATAGAAAAGAATGGGAATATTCCTTGCTGTGGATGTAGATAAATGCACTATACATTTAGTGCAAGCTCGCAAAATTGAAGGCGAGAGTGAGTATTGTGTACCACGAATGAAGGTTCTCAGACATGTGTATAGAAATTTGGCGCATCCGCACCGCATGTCAGATCGCAACTGTTAATACAAGAACTGAATGGGTTACCGGCCAATTATTATCTAAATTTATGGTCATAAAAATAAGACGGGTACTTGTATATACAGGGAAAATATCTGGGAGTACATTGATATCGACTTATCAGTGAAAGAACAACAGAGGCATTTCTGCAGTAAAATTTGTGTCATTTACCGCTGCACGGTTTTGAGCAGACATTGCGTTTGTATTCGGGTGACAGGAATGATGTCATGGGCCAAGGTAATGTGGAGGTGATGTATGGTTCAAAGAGGCAAGATCTAGGCTGAAAGTTTCATCCTGATTGGTGGAAAATCAACACTATGGCAGTTACTGGAGAATCCCTTAAAAAGCGTCAGGATGTTATTGGTTCAGCAAGTAAACCTGCTCTTCTTGACAAACACAGAAAGTTGTTTGAGGCTAATGTCCGCCTTAAGGGAAATGCAAAGTAGGCCGTAGCTAAATAAAAGCGACTGGGGTTCATTGAGGTACCTAAATGCGATAATACTGTTAGGTTTTGTGGTGACTACAAGATTCTTGATAATCCTCAACTGGAAGAAGGGGTACCAATGTATCCATTACCAAATGTCAGTGACCTGTCAGGTAAGTTGGCAGGTGGCACAGTGTTCACAAAATTGGACTTTTCATATGCTTACTAACAGCTGGAGTTTGACCCGTGTGCAATTATTCCTAATGATCAATACGTTCCATGGATTGTACCAAGTCAAGAGACTGATGTAAGGAGTTACCACTGCATCAGCCATTTTCCAAGAGACAATGGACCAGATTTTGCAGTGTATTGAGGGTGTGATGTGTTACCTGGACGATGTCCTGATACGGGGCATGGATGAGGGTGACCATAATCATATTCTAGATGAAGTCATGACTCGCCTTGAACTGTGGCATTCACCTCAAGACATCCACCCAACTGAAGATAAGGTCTCAGCCATCAAGGATGCACTTCTGTGTCACTCTTTAATTGACCCATGTCAAGAAGCTTAAAAGACTCATTGGCCAAGCTAACATATCTGGTTAAACTGCAGGTTTTGTTCTCCCAAAAACTCTATGAGCACATGACAGGTCAGAGAAGGGACAAGTTGGGATAACAAGATAAAGTAAGTTAAATTATATGTTATCTATGTAATGTATTGTATTGAAATAAAACAGCATGTTTGCATTGCCTCCTTGAGTTAACTAAATGTATGCAGTCTAAGATAAAAATAGGTTATGACTGATAAAATGTTTTCAAGGATCACCATGATCACTAAATATTCTATCACTTCTCGTGAATGAATGGATGTGTGCAAGTATTGTTTTACACCTAGAATGTTCAATAAGCTTTGGTAGATATTTTGTCTACATGGTCTCTGTATCATCCTTCATGTCCAGGGCCTAGATTTTCGAAGCTCTCTTAGCGCTAAGATCGTCATAAGTTAATGCTAATGTATGGCACATACGACCATCTTAGCGCTAAGAGAGCTTCGAAAATCTAGGCCCAGGAATCTAGCACTCCATAAAACAAGTCTTTGAACAGTATGGTTAAGTGAGGTGAAATTGGGTTTAACGTCGTACTTGAGAATATTTCGCTCATATGACGACGTGCATGTATGTGTAAGTAGCGGCTGCTTGTACTAGCCCAGACTGAAGCTGGTTTTATAGTGCTAGCCCACTGAGATACCATGCCGCAGTGAAGCATGAATACCCCACTCAGACACATTATACTGACTCCGAGACAACCAGCCAGGCAGGGACCAACAAGTACCATATTTTAACGTCTTTTGGTATGGTTAAGTACAGTGTACATGTATTTATATTTTGTATTCAAATCAACCATTTGTGTCTGTTTGATGACAAGATTATACTGTGCAGCATATTCACTACTATATTATTGTATTAGTGCATGCCTATATATCTAGAATTACTTATAGATGACTGGTATATTAGTGTGTTACCTAATGGTGGACGAACTGTGTGTTTATAAGTATGGAACTTTTATGATCAAGGGTGTTTTTTTCATATCTTGTGTAAAGCAAATATCCACAGTATTAAATATCTCATATCTACAGCAAGTGTTTGTTGACAAACACTATGCTATGTCTTGACTGATGTCCTCAGATGATATCAGTCACTGGAATCAGATATGTATCAGTTCTCAGTGTTTGAGGATTTGTCAGTTACTGCAGTGGATGAAGCAGAAGCTACAGGGAAAGATCCAGTAATGTCAAGAGTTCTGGATTTTATTTGTTCAGGTTGGCCTCTCACTGATCAGGATGAAGAAATTCTTCAGGGCTCGGCGAACATAAACAAACATAGAGGCTAAATCAACCCATGTACCCCTCATGAAAGTTGAATTTTGAAAATGGTTTTGAAATTATGTAAAGTATGTTTTTCGGCTATAACATGATTAAAGGGTGAGATAATTTGACCCAGACAGACTGAAAACTCAATACAGCGGTGGCAGATAAATTTGAGAAGCTGTACAGTACCTTAGGATGTGATATCAAGCAAATACATGATGATGAACACAAAAATTTACAGATGTCAGCTTCTTAATTTTGAGGAACACACGATGACATCCACAAATTCTCACTTTTATGTGTATCACTTCTAAATGCTGTCCAATGATGTAATCAAACAAGTCGTGCAACAATATACCTGTTATCAAACATGACCACCAAGTGCATGTTCGTAGTTATCAAACATTGTCCGTAGTTATCAAACATGGTCCATAGGTGTCAAACATGGTCCATAGTTGTCAAACATGGTCCGTAGGTATCAAACATGGTCCAAGTCAAACATGGTCCGTAGTTATCAAACATGGTCCTGGAATTATCAAATATGAAGTTAAACATGGTCATAGGTCCAACATGGTCCATAGGTATCAAACATGGTCCATAGTTATTAAACATGGTCCGTAGTTATCAAACATGACCACCAAGTGCATGTTCGTAGTTATCAAACATGGTCCGTAGGCGTCTGTTCCTTGAATGCAAACAAAGATCATGGTCCTGGCAATCAAATAAGGTTGTAGGTGCCTGTTCCTTGAATGCAAGCAAGACTGGTGAGTATGGGGCGGTGGGGTAGCCTAGTGGTGCGTTTGCTCATGCCGAAGACCCGGGTTCGATTCCCCACATAGGTACTATGTGTGAAGCCCATTTCTGGCGTCCCCCAACGGCGTAAAACCACACTCGCTCACTCACTGAGAGTATGTTTCTAGTATTCAAACAACATATTCCAGGTAATCAAACGAGGACTGTTGATGTATGTTCATAGTTATCAGAATAATATCTGGTATAATCCACTTACATTTATGTTCATAAGAAACGTCATAATATTTGAAATGACATTTAAGTATCAATGGAGTATTTGAATCTATTTTTTTTTAAATATACACTGAGGAAAACATTAATCGTGGTCGTATAGCCTGTTTTGCCCAATAAAGTAATGTTCGAGATTGAGGTTAGAAATGTTTTGTTCGTGGAAAGGAAAGAGTTCGCACAAACACAACATTAAAATGGAGATGCATGTGCATCAAGCATGCATTCAGGCATAAATTGCCGGCTTGAATGGCAATCGTTCACTTGATTTCTGAACAATGTAACGAAATCTATCGTTCGTATGCTGCAATTGAAGTCATTAGCAATGACATCGAGCACGTTGACAAGAGTCTAAACGTCCAATGGCATGTTGTCGTTGATCTCTCGTTAACCTAGCCATAGCTGCTGTGTTCAGAAAACAAATGAAGTACATGTATTGCCATTCAAGGCGGCGATTTATGCTTGAATGCATGCATAACTTCATAAAATGCCATGAACAGTAACATTTAAGTCAAGTGTTCATGTGGCTAATCGTACTAGTCTGTGTGAACCCATAAAGCCAGGGGAAGTCCAATCATCAATATTCCAGCCATATTGTAGCAGAATGTAACCAGACAATCATCTGCTCAACATCATGAGCATCAATCTATGCAATTGGGATACAATGGCCTGTCAGCAAGCCTGACTGCCCAATCCAGTTTGTTGGCTTAAGACCTGGGTCTTCAGCAACCCATGTCTTAAGTAAACTGATGGATAGTGTCTGTTCTTCACATGTTCTCAATGTGATAAAAATTGAACTATATATTTGTAATTCAAACAATCAGTTGTTTGTCCTCAAGTTCAAGGTTATTTTCTGAAGTGTATCAAGACAAAAGACACAGGCAGATAAGAATATTGGTCCTCAGCAACCTACATTTCTCCTAAGATGCACTGGAATGTCTGGTCACAACATGAATACACGCTGGTGTATGCTCATGATCCGGTCTGGATCAAACTCAAACCGGTGACTGACAGTGACAACACAACATGAGGATATAATATTGTTTAATATTTCATAAAGTTTCTGTACAAAAATAAGGTGTCCTTAGCAGAGAAAGAAAACATCAGAATGAACACTACATTCCTGTATACATAAACCACACACTCCTGCATTCTGGAGAAACTCAAACATTTTTTAATAACCCAGGGTATAAATACTCTCCCTGTCTCATTGCCAGCTCAATGCAAATGACATGACAGATGAGGTGATGTCACTTTTTTCTTTTAAAAGTCATGGTGGCATTGGAGTCAATAGTGGAATACCAAACAAACTCACACAGCCCTCCGAAACAATGGGCTAACAGGATACAACACACTAAGGATTTATTCAAGTTGGCCATTCTGATGTTTTTCTGTAAGGAGGAGAACAGAACACATTTTATAAGTTAACAGTTTGTCATAGGCCTTGTACAGTTCAAACTCGACATACAAACAGGCAGAGACGGGCCCACTCAGGACATCACACAGAACAAATTGGTACTTGCGTAAATACAAGTAAAATATTTTGATGGATGGCAGAACTGTAACTAAAAAATAACGCATCCGAAAGAGTCAATTGAGATTTCACTGATTAGAAATTGTCAAGTAAGGACCTTTCTTTTTTTTTTACCACAGATCAAATTTCGTCAGTTTTTTCAAATTTTTGTTTTTCAAATTTGATTCTTTACATGCTACCATCCAATCACGAAAAGCTGATTTGTAACACAGCCAACTCATTCAACAACCAGAATGCATAACTTATCACATGGTCGACTCACTCACACATTATGTACACAGATTGCACCCTGTATCACAGTGTCCTAAGTGCTTACCACACCAGTGGAATAACATGATCCAATAACAAACAGATCTTAAAGCAAAAACAAGTAATCTGAGAAAAAAACATTCAGGATATGTTTCAAGATATAATGGAAGGACTTGAGAAAAATGACATATAGTGCATATCATCTAAGTGAATTTGTGCATGATTATTTTAAGATTCTTGTCTACCTTTAAAGGTTAATTCACAAAAGATTTAAGGATGTAGCATATTTGAGAAAAGTGATTGAGTGTCAAGCACACAACTGTTAATTGGGATCCTGCAAGTTACAGAAGGGACCAATAATTTGGAGAAAAGTATTCCCATGTAAGCCCCTGAAATGGTTGCAATTTTGCAGCCAATCTATTGATAACATCCTGAGATTTGTAACTTGGGTCATTTAGTCACTTTCACCTAAGCTGAAAAACAATTCCTTTGTGTCAAAACTGGCAGGTAACAATCACTGGTGTAGTACAAACTGTACCCAGTACTGAAATACTTTTGGCAGTATTAAATCAGTGGATATCAATAATGCAACTGGAGACAGTCCACTGTGTTTAATAATAAGGTGAAGTATGGCATTGTGATAAACTTCATCTAGTCTCAGTATCCTCCTCTTGTCCAAGTCTCCCTCGAAGATACCATGGCGTCATCGAAAGTCAAGGGAGACAACTCTTTGATGTGGGTAAAGGGAGATAACTGGCAAAATACATGAATCATGAGATTTTTTTCACAAATGACCAGTTGAAGTATGTTGACCTGTGGTGGCATTGTTGATTTGAGTTAAGAGAGCAGCCATCTTCATGGAACAGCCTCCATTATCTTTCCAAAGATTCACTGAAAACAGCGGAGCAGATGTTCAAACCTGATCACATGATGAGGTGAGTTTTGAGATACTGGATGTGTGGACACTCATTGCAGGCATGTGGAGACAGAGGTGGGAGCTAGTTGCTCTTCATTTCATTGCGGATACACTGGCGAAAGGCTTCCCATGTCCCCTGTGTGTGCATCAGGTGAGACTGTCAAGTAGAAAAACAGAGTGAGAGTGAGTCCAGGGTTGTACCTTGATCTACCAAGCGACAGGTCCAGAAGACCTCCAGTTACTAGTATCAAGAGTTTTGTAATTACTTTACTTATGGGAACTTTCTATTAACATTGGATGAAATAAAAAAAAAATTCTACTAATGACGTTTTGAGGATCTGACAACTGAGATTCCATTCTGCAGCTCCCAAATAAAGAGGCACATTTATATGTACCCTGAGACCAACAATCTGTAGTTTAAGCCCTCTACGCTAAGTGCTGGGTATGAATACAAGAAGTATTTTCTTTCATAAAATCTTTTGGGATGACATAGCCACCAGACACCCACCGTAACAATTAAAATGAATGAATGAATAACTCAGTATTCCGGTGAATGGGTCTTGCACAGTTTTGGACAATATTTCAGTTCTACTACTGTGTCAACATGTGGGGGAATATACAGGGTAATTTTGTCAACATTTTACTAAAACCTGCAAGATGGTTCTGTGTGTATTTGGTATGGCTACAGATTCTACTGACCCTGGAGCCACGATGTAACCTGTCTTTCATGATAGCAATGAACTCAGGGGAGCTTAGATGGCCATCTCCATCAGAATCAAAGATCTGGAACACAGTGTTGACAACATGCTTGCCCAGAGTGAAGCCTGTACAAACTCTCACTGCTCTCTGGAACTCGTCTGAAACACACACCAATTACGCTCAAAGACCATAACAATAACAACATTCACATGAACAAAACCCTCAGTCGGTAGAATAATACATTCATTGAACAAGTGAACACTAATCCATCATATGAGTGAGTAAGTTTAATTTTACACCACACTCTGCAATATTCCAGCTATATGGTGGCGGTCTGTAAAATGATCGAGCCTGGACCAGATAATCCAGTGATCCAACAGCATGAGCATAGATCTACATGATTCGGATACAATAACATGTCAATCAAGTCAGCGACCCTGACCACTCGGTCCTGTTAGTCGCCTCTTACGACAAGCATGGGGTACTGGAGATCAATTCTAACCCTTATCTTCATGGGTTCGTTAAATCTCACATCAGTCCCTAAATAATCATGTCTGTTGATGAGAAATGTTTAACAATTAGGTGAAATCTACAAGCATGCATATTGCACAGACAGGGTAAGAATAAAATTCAGTGACTTCAACCAACCACCTGCAGGAACTAAGGGCTGCAACTCTGTAATGTGTACATCATACCTTGGGAAACTGGCTGCTGGGCATAGGTATACATCTTCATGGCGATTGAAAAATCATCCAGATTGTTCAAGAACTGGCAGAACTTCTTGAACTCTTGGAAAGTAATGCCCTGAAATGTCCAACATTTCACATTCAGAATCAATGCCATCCTGGATATAATGCCATGTTTTTGTCAGAACGGATTTCCTGCCTATATAATACCTTGGTTATAATGCCATTTGCCAACGGTTTTTGGAACAATAGTCATTTTAAAAGTCATTTTCCCCCTGGTTATAATGCCAATTACACTGGCTGCATGTAGTATACATACCTTAATTGGTTAACTAACATGACTCAAATTTATATTATGTATGTTATCAAATTGATTAATCCAAAGTTGGACGTGGGCAAGTAAGGATTCTCTGTCTAATGATGCGAGGTACCATGACGTTAATTTAACGACTATCATTTACTATGTAATCTCAGGAACGAAAAACATGAGATCACTGATTGAGATTGATTATCACTTCAATTGATTCTTGATAAATATTGGAGAAGTTACTTTGAGGAAAAACAAGAGAAAATATACTTCTGAAAGAAATCACTATATGTTAAGTCACTGGTGAATGGCAACACATTTATGCATTGATAATAGTATTTTCATTTCGATATTAATTCTTACCATTTCTATTATTATTACGTATTTCTGATTAGTAATTTTTTTTATCCAAAATTAGTTTTTATTGTTCAATTTTAATATATAATCAGAAATGAGGCCCTTAGAATATCTTTAAATAAGTGAAGAAATCTACACTCGCCAAAGTTTAGTAAATGTCGCAATGCTTCTCAGTTATTCTTTCAGTGTCTGAAGAGAGACTATAACCCCATTTCTATCAATCATCTGACAGAATTACCTTCTCTTGCTGAATTCTGTCCTTGACCCTGGCGATACACTCATCAATCTCAGAGCGGTCCAGCAGGGTGTAGCGGAGGAGGATGTGCGCAAAGTCCACCTCAGAGATCGTGTTCATGCCCTTGGAAAACTCCAGGAACTCCAGCTCAATTACCTCACTCTGCAGGTTCTCCATAAATCTGGTCAACACATGATGGAACCAGTTACATCAATTTCTTAAAATCTGTGACATCTTATGAAAGTGTGACAGAAGTATGCATTATATTGACATTAATGCCCAGGTTGTACCCTAAAAACCCATAGAATATCACTTCATAAACTGTGGAAGACACGACAAATCTTGAGAATTTTAGTCTCACAGACCATAACCTCATTTCTGTTCCTCAGGAGGCTGACATGTTTAATCATTAATATCTACAAACAAATCAGCTTCTGCCAAGCCATGTAAATTCCCATTCTTTCCCTTAAGTCCATGGATCCCAGAAGGGCTGAAATGCCTTGAGTTATATACATATATGTGCACAATTCTATTCCATTCAAAAGAACTAAAGCCCACCTGATGTTTTTAATGTGATTACAGTTAATATGTCATGACTGGTGGTATTAGAGCACACAGCCTTCTAGTTGTGGTAGTGTTCTGAGCAGTGTATTTTCACAGCACACCTCACATCCTCTGTCTGGCTCACCTGTGAAAGTCATCATACTTGAGGACGTCATTCCCATACTTGCCAAAGAAGTGCACCATCAGAGACGTGTCCTGGATTCTGGTCTCCACTGCCTATATAACACACATGACCATCATGTCAGAATAGGAGCGACAGACAGCTTAAAATGTGAAACAATCACAGCAATTACTCCCAGTCGGAACTCAGAAAAGATATGCTCATCGCAACAGTCAGACCAGCATGGCCGAAAAACGCTCTAGTATGTAGTAGCTGAGTTGTCTCCCTTCAGTGAAGGCAACAGCTAGACCTGACCTTGTTCAGGAGAATGTCATGATACCCAGCATTCCACAACGATATGGTGCCAATACTGTACTAGACAATGGGGTGAAACAATACATCAGTAAACAGGTGCATCGTGTTTTCCTGTCATGATATGAAACATTATTTTTTCTGTAACACTGTATAATTACAAGATGATAGACTCGTAAAAATAATACCTACTCTTTTTTCAATATTTGACAGACCAAAATTTTGGAGGTAATGTAATTTGGTTCTGTAAGTTCACTACTAAAGTAGGTAATATGAACATATTTCTGAATTTCAGTTTTCTTTCAAACCTGAATATACATAATACCGGAAGTTTCCATACGATATGACATAAAATAAGGGCACAGTAATAGGCATTGTATTGTGACATCTACAGTGACTTGTATGTTATCATGTCTTTGTTGTATAGTTTCAACCCCTTATTGTTCAGAAACTTTCTGCTTCTGAAAAACGTTACGTTTTCATTGCGTCAAATATGAGTGGTGAGGTGCAGCCCTGTCTAGCTGTTGGACATGAGCACATCTTCAAGTTAACAACCAACCTGCCAACAGCTGCAGTTAAAGGAAATTAGTTTAAGGGAATTGGTTTAATACATGAGTTAAGTAACAAGTTGGCATTCTTCAGAAAGGTCAGTAGTAGATTGTAAAGAATGAATTTATACATGAAAAACACATGTTGGTGACAATATGGATGTTGAAATATTAGTACAAGAATGAATTGAACAGCCGCCCACTACATCAATGTCAACAAGTCAGTTAAGGATAAACAGAATCAGATTCTATTGGTGAGTGTGACCAAACTTACTAACAAACAAGAACCAATTTAATTATTTCACTCAGATATAAACAATAACATTCAATTATTATGTAAGTAATCTCATGTATAAACAAACAGATTAAATATGGGTATGAGTAACATATAAGTACTCTTATATAAATACACCGAATTCAATTACAAACAAAATCTCCATGATATTTTAAAGGATTATTTCATATAAAATGAGACACGTTTAATCCAGCATGGACCTTGATGGGGGAAGTGTGTGCATTGCAAGGCGAACAATGCCTAGGTAAAACATCTAGTGTCTAGAAGCTATTAAGAAGCACCAACACCACATTGTGTAATCACTACCCTTGTGGTTAGTCCACTACAGGCCTACAGGTGACCAGAACTCTTGGCAATGGCGCCACCTGTGTCTACGTGGTTAGCTATACTTACAGGAATCACTTTGGACAAAACCTAGCAGGAAGAAATGTACATGTGTCTAGGCAGTACCCTCAATGATGCAATTACCGTCAGTATCCTGATACATGGAATAGGACCATTGAGGGATTGATATTGGACCATAAACACATAGTGTTGTGCTTTGACCAAAATGTCCTGGTTCGAAACCTTTCAATGACTTAAAAAGTAATGTTTCTTGTTTTGTTTAGAAATACTGCGGACATTAATTCCAGCTTGATATGTTTTCAGACAAAGACAATGTTTTGGATCATAATATTGGCAGTATATTGCTATTTTGAAAATCTCTGGCATCTAATTCAAACTGAATTCTCAGTCACGTTAAAATCATTCTTCAAACAAAACATTGACAAATGGCATTGAAGAACATTCATAACTCTAAATAAATGTAGCTAGAGAAATAAAATTTTACTTAAAATTACTCATACAACATAACTGAAATCTACTGATATAAGATTCTTGTATATGACATACAACTTAATTTCATAATCCAGGCATAATCGCCAAAATGTATCCTCCAGAACAAGCCACCTAATACCAAAAATATCAAACTTAGTTTTCTGTTGGAGGTCTGTATACAAAACAGCATGCATTACTATGTCGGGAGTTTGCTAGAAACAGTGGCGCCACCTACTTCCTTCTTCTTTCCTTCGCCATCCTCGGAATCTGGCTGCTTGCTAAACACTCGCTCCAGCTGCAATAGTCGGGCAATATCACTTGACCTGTCACACTTGGCATGTATATGGCATGTTTATTACATGTCAGTATTACATAGCTGTCCATCACTTACCTCGTACATAACATGCTGATATCATGTATATCACTAACCTACACTGTATATTTCACATAGAAGTTCTGCAGCAAATACTAATGTATTCTGCAGAATCATGTATAAAACATTATCAGGGGTGGAAAAATCTTGCTTAATCTAAGTCATTTAATTGGAACTTTTTTTGGAATCACAATCTCTAATATGCAAATAAATTTATGGGTTTAAGTCAAATGAATTTGGAAACACTTCAGGTTGAGTGACAATGGCCTCCCATATAACTCTGAAGTCTGATTACACTGACTCTGAACAAGGTTGCATTTCACAAAATATGACAACTGGTATATCATCTGTTATTGTTTCTGGAATGTCTGAAGTCAGGGACATTAGGGTAATACATTCTTCCATCCCCGATTACTGTTTCATATTTTAATTCTATTCTTTGTACATTTTCGGTTAGTTTCATTTTTTACTTAACTTATCTGAATCATTGAAACAGTGCAGATGATATGCAAAAATATATATTAAAAGTCAAGTTCCAAAATCCCAGCCAGAAAAACAATAAGTTAGTATTTTTCAATATCTTAAAAAGTAAGTAGAAAATATAACATCCATATATCCCAAAATGTTACCATTATTTTCCAATGCAGTAATACAAGTGTTAGACTGTCTTCCCAAAATGCTATCCTTAAGCTGCGAATCCAGCGATATTGCCAAACATGATAACATGGTTACAATCAGCAGCCCACTCTTGTCAAATACCAAACCACATGTAATAGTATTAATCCACATTATATTATTTCACAAATATATTGTACAATATTCACTACAGAGGTTAATTCACAGGTGGTAATACCATACAACAATCATGGATTTATTAAACTACTTCAACAGCTTCAACAACTGCATCCTTTCATCAGACTTAGAATCTCTAGAATGGTTTTAATTTCTGAATGTTTGAGTAGCATTCTTCCACTGGACCCTTTCTTGTGACTTTACATCTTTACAGAGGTTTAATTTTGGATGAGTCCTTATAATATGCATGCCCTCTCCACTGAAACCAACTGCTACCTCTGTGATGCACATTTTTGTCGAGTGTGTAAACCAGGAGTATATAATCTACATCCGATTGCACAGGTTGTCATGCAAGCTACATGGTCTTTGTCAAATCACTAGGCCAGCTATGTTCTAGAATATATACATTCATAACCACACGTTTGTGCCACATTCTTCATACAGGTATCCCTGAAATAGAACATTCCAATCATACATAGTATCTGTCATATACTGGCACTAGATGACTTACCTGTAAGGTATGACTTAGTGTGACATATTGTCTAGGAATGTCAGATATCGAAGTAAGCAATGACATGATCTATAGCTATAGCTCAGTGACAAGTGAATGGCCGAGTGATGACAGCAAGGAACAAGCCATGTCAATCAACACGTGAAAGTCGTCATCACAGTTCCAACTCATCTAGATAGAGAAATGGAGGAACAAAATCTCCTGCAGAGAAAAATCCTGGCAGTTTTCTAACCATGCTGAATGAAGCAGGTTGTGTAGAACACTCCCAGGAGATATCAGTGAGAGCTTGTGATGCGTACATGCCTAGCTGAGAGAGGTGTATAAAAATCTGTGATTCAAGGATAAACACACCTAGCAGAAACCTGGCTATATAGACCATAGTTGAAAGTAGTTCATATTTAACACCTAACTGAGTTGTATATATGTAGATATATCCCACATCAAAAGTCGTTGATATTAGAATGAACGATATTCAGCAGTCAGTTCAAATGCCTAGCTTAGAGTCATTGACAATTACCCTTAGCAAAGACATTGATATATAAACCTTGCAGAGTCGTTGACATATACGCCTATGAGAAAGTCAATATATACACCTGGCAGTCATATACCTATTTAAATGTCCTTGATAACTACACCTACCAGAGAGTCATTGACATACACCCAATGATCAATTGCTGATATATATTATATGATATATACATCTAGTGCTGAGTAAATACAAAATATACCCTTAGTTGAGGGTCCCTACACACCTAGTGGAAAGTGTGTACACAGGGTATATATCTGTAGACGGACACCCTCTGACGGTCAGCATGCCTTTGTATGGAGTATCAAACAAGCTGTATGGTTACAGAATGGTTAATCCTGGTCAGTTAAAACACACAGATGTGTAGTGGGTCAATTAAACACGAAACGCATCAATGTTAACTGGTTAAGAATAAAACAAAACAAGCATGGCAGGCAACAGAACACACTGAGCAAGGTTCTAGCAGAGACGAGCAAGCACTGCAAAGTCCCACATTACAAACACCAAGCAACCAAACGCAACACATGCAGCACACAATGCACATGAACCATGCAGGGGAGACGAGGGGGGTAAGCAATGGGTCGGTATCGTGGGCGATGTGGAACTGATACAGGTGATGAAGCTACACTGGGTGACACTAATCAACACAATGTCTGTATGAACCCTGAAGCTGCAGGACACTCCAGCCCTGACGGACGATGGTGAAGAAAATCTGGTGCAAATCTTTCTTAGCTCTCAATGTCAAATTCAAAATGAAATCTCTTTAACACTACATCTATATACAATTATCTGGGCTTTAAGTACTTTTTACACAAGAATGGATATTATCAAGGATCAATCATTAATGAAATGCATTCTTAAACGCAAACTTAACAATTCCTATGTCTTAAATTGGAGAATTTATGCTAGAAAATTTGAGCGACTTGATATAATTTTCCTTCATGAAGGTTTAAGACCCAGATAATGATAAATGTGCCTAAACTGAGTGTTGTGATTTCTGGGAACAGTAGTGACTATAGGGAGACGTACAGCTAACATTGTGTGTAGTCTTTGTCTTTCCCGAGGTACAAACTTTCGCTCATGAGGGGGAAGAATGAAGAAAGATTCCAACTGAAAAGAAAGAGATGAGAGACATTGTGAAGAAAACAAATACTGATACCTTCACCCTCCAAAAACCTCAGGATCCTACTGAAAATCAGGCTCGAATCCATCAGCATTAATGAGCCATATGCAATTACAAAAATAGAAAAACAATACCAAAAAATAAATACACGGTTGACATGAAATTTACTTTGGTCATATGAAATGAGATACCAAAATATTAAAAAGGACAAAACCATTACAGCAATACAATGTCAAGAATGTGATAAAATTATTGCCCAATGTAGTCATAGTGCAGTACAACATGGAACAAAAATACTTCCTCGGAACGAAAGACACTTCAGACAGACGAAACCTTGGCACCATATACATGCAGAGCTTGTAAAGAAAATATGTTCTATGTGATGAAGAAGAAAATGTAAGACATCCTGTGCTCCACTGACCCAGTGATATTATTTCACCATGACAGTTTAATCATTGCAACACATGCAGTGATCGGTGCGGACTCGCGTGTTGTAGTCTGGTGTAAACTGATGCAACTAGACTGGGTCTGTAGTCTCTATACAATTAAAACAGCTAATCTGTACGGTCCTCTTCCCAGTCACACAGTCTTGAGTTACAAATTTCCTGCTGAATGTATAATGGAGTTATGTCCCTTTGAATCAAAACAAATTTATTTCTCACATCTTATATCTCATGATGTAACAAAGGTCATTAATTTGGTTGTTTGCACTTAATTTGGTTACATTCTCACCTTATGGCAAATAATACAGATTTTTAATACAGCTAACTCGAATGGTATAAAAGGATTTTGAAAATATGTTAATATGAAGTATGGCTCAATTAGTTCTGTTATGTACACATAGCAAAGTGTTGACCACAAAGTTTGAAGCAGACCTAAAAGGGTTACAGCCCTAAGATACCACTCCGAGTCATTCAGGCAAAATAACGTCAACATTCATTCATCTTGTGAGTGCAGTGAAGAGGCATTAATTCAGGATGTAAGTTCATTTGAATGCAGTTTTATTTATCTATTTCCAAACACTGACATTGTACAAACAAAACAAACTTCTTAACCAAGTACACAAATATTGTCATTAAAGTGGGTTTCCCTGCCCAGGGTGAGGATACCTGTTTAAAAATTAGTGTCCCAGTAAATAGTATATTGGTAAGGTTGACTTGAGACTGCTGCATGTACCACTAGTGTCACTGTATCAAGAACTACCCAACAGAGACTGGACCCAGTCTACTATGCCCCAGTCACGTGTATACAGACAGGGAGTTCCTCTAGGTTTGGTGAGAACTCAATCAGTGGGTGTAAACCAAGGACAATAACATCGGGTCAGAGGGAGGCTTCAGTGTTTATATAGAGGAAGGTATTAATCTGGTTCAAGTTTATAAGCAGGGCTGAAACAAAACCTCAAAAACACTTGTTAAAGGGCAGAAACTCAGAGAGGTGGTGTCAAGCCTCTTTGCTGTATTCCTGAAGACCTGTCAACAAAAAATCTCAACATCTTAACCTGCAAACTGAGTGGCTCTCTTGTCCAGACTCGATTATTTACAGCCGGCCATCATATTGGACATTGCCAAGTGCGGCTTTAAACAACCATTCCATCAGTTCTATGACCGATCTGTAAGAACAAGGAATCAGGTGTCGTACACTCTCTTTTCGACAGATTGGTGATTGAGGCTTTACAGTGTATTACCACTAGATTACCATTATTCCTTGAAGAGGACTTCAACAGACGGACGCTATTTGATCTACAATCAGTGGAAGTTAGGTGACTCTCAACAGACGGACGCTACTTGATATCTACATTTGATCTACAGCATCAGTGGTCAGAGTTATTCCCCTTGATGTAGACCTCAACAGACGGACATACCACAAAACCTATGATGCTACTTGATATCTACATTTGATCTACAGCATCAGTGGTCAGAGTTATTCCCCTTGATGTAGACCTCAACAGACAGACGCTACTTGATATATACATTTGATCTACAGCAACAGAGTTATTCCCTTGATGGACATACAGACAAAATACCTATGATGCTACTTGATATATACATTTGATCTACAGCATCAGTGGTCAGAGTTATTCCCCTTGATGTAGACCTCAACAGACAGACATACCACAAAACCTATGACGCTACTTGATATCTACATTTGATCTACAGCATCAGTGGTCAGAGTTATTCCCTTTGAACAGACAGACATACCACAAAACCTATGATGCTACTTGATATCTACACAAAACCTATGATGCTACTACTTGATATATACATTTGTCTACATTTGATCTACAGCATCAGTGGTCAGAGTTATTCCCCTTGATGTAGACCTCAACAGATGGACATACCACAAAACCTATGATGCTACTTGATGTCTACATTTGATCTACAGCATCAGTGGTCAGAGTTTGATTCCCAGTGGTCAGAGTTGATGTAGACCTCAACAGACGGACATACCACAAAACCTATGACACTCAGTGGTCAGATGTCTACATTTGATCTACAGACAGACATCAGTGGTCAGAGTTATTCCCTTGATGTAGACCTCAACAGACGGACATACCACAAAACCTATGATGCTACTTGATGTCTACATTTGATCTACAGCATCAGTGGTCAGTGGTTCCCTTGATGTAGTCAACAGGACGGACATACCACAAAACCTATGATGCTACTTGATGTCTACATTTGATCTACAGCAACAGTGGTCAGAGAGTTATTCCCCTTGATGTAGACCTCAACAGACGGACATACCACAAAACCTATGACACTACTTGATGTCTACATTTGATCTACAGCATCAGTGGTCAGAGTTATTCCCCTTGATGTAGACCTCAACAGACGGACATACCACAAAACCTATGACACTACTTGATGTCTACATTTGATCTACAGCAAAAGTGGTCAGAGTTATTCCCCTTGATGTAGACCTCAACAGACGGACATACCACAAAACCTATGACACTACTTGATGTCTACATTTGATCTACAGCATCAGTGGTCAGAGTTATTCCCCTTGATGATACAAAACCTATGGCACTACTTGATGTCTATACTGGCTCTACAACACAAGTGGTCAGAGTTATTCCCCTTACATCCAGACTTATTTCGTCAGGGGTGTATGTAGCAGGGAGTTGAGTCACCTTTATAATGATTACCTTGTCAGTTTGCTCACGGGGTTACCCTCTTTGATAATGTGGACAAGACTGACCACTGATCAAAAGGTCTGTGGTTCAAATCCCATTACATGACTAAAAACGTTCAAGGCCACTACGCTGACATACAACGGTTAATGAGACACAAGCCATTAATCCAGGCCCAGACCTGATTATATACTGTCCGACATCATACACCTGAAATACTGTTGGTCTAAACAATGGACATACAGTCATACTACGTGGATGTCTAGATGGCAAATACTTGACATACTAAAAATGGACAAAAAATTGTGACCCAACAATATCAATACTTGTATTACATCATTTTATCACAATGCTCTGATAATCTACGAAAAGTTGTACTATATTTCCACCCAGTGGTTGCAATGAAAATTGCATTAGAAAACATAAATAGTTAAAATCCGGGGGATAATGATCAGATTATGCTTGAGCAGGATATCTAGCCTGGAAAGAAGGCGTTATAAATATTCTCATTATTATTATTGAAACGACCTTATGTCTTGTGATGCTGATGTTTTGGAGATTTTATGTGCACTTACCTTGGTCTTGCTACATTGACCTCACAGTCTTTATGCTTATGACTGAAACCAGAGCATCTTTGACTCCTCCTCCATGAGGAGAACATTAATTGATTACTGACACATCAGATCTGAAGTGTTATCAAAACATGAGAGATTCATGACTGTTTGCAAGAGTTGCCTCCCTTATACCATTTCCCCAAGCCACCCATCTCCACATGTTACTCTTATTGTAAGGCGGCCTTTAGTGGCCATGGCAGTGATAAAGGGCATAACAGTTACTGTCACATGTTATTTAGTAGAGAACAAGCTCGTATTTCACATCAGGACAAACGTTTATTGTTTATCAGATCCAGCCTGATCCCAGTGGATCAGCAATCATGGAAACTACCTGGCATTCCAGCGGGATCAAGGGACGACATACCAGACGACATAATGTCTACCTGGCAGGAGGACCGGGGACAGATATGACGCAGTGATCTGTTAACTTGGTCTGCATTCTAACATACTTTACTGGATGATTCCAACAGGAGATCATATATCTCATATTGTATCTAAACAGTGAAAAACCAGAAGATAACACAACAGTGGATCAGTCCTGGCCAGAGCCGAGTCATCCAACCCTGTTTTACAAACAACTGAGAATAATGAGCCAGGCCTCTTCCTGTTAGGTACAAGATATTGATCAGCTCAGTTGTTTCCGAGTTGTTGTGGGTCGGGTTACATGGAGGTGGTGGGGAGAGTGCTGGTCATGTCACACCTTCTGACCACCGACAAAACAGACATGTAGCCATCCCACACACCCAGTTCACCCCGTCTCCACACGCAACACAATCAAGGACCATACTAGAGGCTTGTTTGTGGATGTTACTCGGACAGATGACACAAGCCTTCAACTAGTTTGTGTCATTTAGCATCCAGTGGGTGTCTGATGTAATCACCTGTAGTCTGATGTCAGATTGAAATCTCCAAAAGGTGTCAAGGTATTCTAGTGCAGGGTATCCAGGTATCCTGGTGCATTGTGCCATAGTATTCTAGTGCAGGGTCAAGGTATTCTGGTGCATTGTGCCATTGTATTCTACTGCAGGGTGTCATGGTATTCTGGTGCATTGTGCCATAGTATTCTACTGCAGAGTGTCCATGTATTCTGGTGCAGGGTGTCAAGGTATTCTGGTGGAAGGCGTCCAGGTATTCTTGAGCACAACCATCAAGGTATCCTGGTACTGGGTGTCAAACTATTCTGGTGCAAGGTGTCAAGGTATTCTGGTGGTGGGTGTCAAAGTATTCTGGTGCAGGGTGT